GCGCGCAGCCTCCGCCAGACGTCCCGGGTGCCGCGCCCCGGCGGCCGCGGTCCGGGCTGGACGGTGGTCGTGCGATGAAGAAGTTGCCCGCCGCTCTCGCAGCTGGGGGCGCTGCCGTCCCGTCCGGCCGCTCGCAGGCCGCCCTCGGGAGGGGTGGTCCCTCGCTTCTGGCACGTGTTAACTGTCCCGAATCTGAGCCGCTTGCTGTTGGCTTTCCTGCCAGTGAGCACGCAAAGCTGGTTTTCCCTGGTGCAGAGCCTCCCTGTGACAGTTCCTCCTGAAAACTCTGTCCCACTGCCCAGCCGCAGTCCTAAAATGTCTGCCTCAGGTTCTTCGAAATCCCCCCTCCGCCCCACACTTGCCAGCGTTTCAGCCAAAGGCTGCAAGCGTTTCAGCCTTTTGCTGCAAATCTTTTTGAGGGACATGGTATATATAAGCTAACAGGGATTTGGGTGTTTTGTTTTGTTTTGTTGTTTTTTTTCAGAACTCCTGACTTCACCATTGCTTTTCTTACTTCCAAGATAAACCCCAAGGAAAGTCAGATTGTTGAATAAACTTTCTGAGTGCAACAGCACTTGATTTATATTATTCTTCCTTTGATGTCTTATTAACTCCGAAGACCCCACCACAACAGCCTGTCCGTCTTTTCCCTCCCCAGGCAACGCTTCCCCTGTGTCCTCCGCATTTGTCTTTCTGCCAGTCCTTTTAAAAATTCCTCTTCTGTTACTTCTGGCTTTTAAATCCCGCTGCTCACAACTTCCCATTCTTTCCACTTCTCCATCGTCTCCCAAGCTGAAGGGAAAACTGCCTCCGCCTGCCCCAGCCGCTTCCTCACCCAGCCTGTTGCTGGTCGAAGGTCGGCTTTTAAGCTCCTACCTCGAATCGGTGAAACAACACAGCACCAAGAACCCCTCAGAGAATCTGCTGATTATTCCTGATGTCGTGGATACATAGAGACTTGCTACACTTTTCAAAGAACCAACTGCTTAATGAGTTCATACTATTAACAGGAATTAGAGGTAACATACACAAGTTCCCAAAGTTATCAGGGCCCTGATGCACAGAGGATATTGAGGTCTAAAATGCCACATGGGAGCATTTCTCTGGGGTATCTGCTCTCCGGGGCACTGGAGGAAGCTGAGGGGTCTTCACCTGAGCTGCATGGATCCCAGTGCATTGCAGACCAGAGCTTTGTGGCTGAAAGCTGTCCTCCAAAATGATATGTCTTGGTGGTAAGGTTGGGCCTTAAAGAAGTTTGGTCTAACATCACCAAATCCCTGATACATGTTGGTTATTTTTGCTAAAAAAAAAAACCCAAACAAACAAACAAAACCAAACCAAAACTGTTAACAAAAAAATCCCCCAAGATTGGTTAACACAGAGGTAGACAGATTTTGCTAGATTACTAAAAATACGTCGTTATGTCAATAACAGAACATGGACATTTAGACGTCTTGCACTGTATAAACAGTACTTTAGGCTAAGAGACAAATTAGTCTTTTCAGATCTTGTTTTTATGTGCATCTTGCAAGATGAGCTTGCCTATGTGGAGGTTATATTTGATAAATATGTCATTGTGCTAACGCCACACTCCTCTGCCTCTAACCACTCTGAATCAGTTTACATGCACATGGCACTAAAATATATTAAAACTGTAAAAGCTATCAGTAATACTGAAGAGGAAGATGGAGGCTGGAAGAACGGTAAAGCAAAGACAGAGGAACATGAGAGATTAATAGGATTGGGTGTTTCTGTATTTCTGCTTTACAGAGGAAATTAGAACAAAGGATAAAATTCTGAAATAATGAAGAAAGATTGCACTAGACTAGCAAGTATATAGCTGATACCTCAGTGATTTGAGAATATAGGGTACTGTATGTTAGTAAGATCATTCTTTCTGATTAGTCAAAAAATAAATAGCTAGAACTGACCTCATCTCTGTCCGTCTTGAGTATGAGGGTGAAGAAAACCAAAAGCCAAATGTTTAATTCATTTTCTGATTTATGGTTTCATCTGCTAGAAACTTCTGAGTCATGTAAAAACAGATATATCATGTCAAATTGTATCTGCAGATCAGACATTGAAATACTATAATTTGTTTTCCACATTAGCTTCACCACAATTATTGTGCCTATAATTGGTTGTGGTTGTGATATTGCTGCCCAGAAGGTCACATTGAGGTTTCTCTAAAAATGCTAATCTAATCTTTTACTAACCAGTGTACCATAACATTAGTGTCTGACACCGTAGGAACGGAAGAGGACCCACGAGATCTCCTCAGAGCCAGGCTCAGGATGGGGTATTCTGTGAAAGCTTTCTTCCAAAATAAAATAACCTGACTTCTAGGACCTTGCGGATTTGGACATGGCTTTTACTGACCTAGCATTGCAAGTGGCCAGATCCTTCCGTTTTCCTTTGCCGTATTGTAGGGGAAAAAAGTTCAGTCTGGAGCTGAAGTTGGGCCGTGTTTTGGATCCACCTTCCCTGTGGGCTGAGGGCTGCTGGTTGGGGCTGGAGTGCAGCTAAGGTGGGGTGGGCTATTACTTGAGAGAGTGGTGGGGCATGTCTTGGTTTGGTCTGAAGGTGGCACTACAAGGCCATACGTGGAAGGCACTACAGTAGCCTGACACTAGACGTGTATTTCCTCTGTTAGTTATGGCTGTGTGGCCTACAGCCCAATCTGAGAGTCTGAGGCAGAACGGGGAACAACGTATTCTGCTGCGCTTTCCTGTTTCTGGTGTGCTGAATATGGAAAGCAAACCACTGCATGTGGAAGCTGCAGGCTTCAGCTGGATTTGAAGCAGCAATGAATTTGGCTCCAGCAACCCAAATGAAATATGAAGACAGGTGGTCCACTGGCTTTATCTGGCCCACTGGCTTTATCTGAAAACAACTGACACCATCTGAACACTGTCATCTTCGGCTTCCGCAGAAGCTGCCCTCAACCTATGAACATGGTTGTCAATGAATGTAATTGCCGTTATGCATGGAAATTTATGGGTTGAATACTTCTAAAATCATGGCCTCATCCCTCAGCTGTTAGCCCAGAGTGATGGGAGGTGGTGAAGAAGGTGACTGCAAAGGTACATCGGTGTTGTAATTGAACTCCTTTATCTTGCCCCGTGGTGAACCTTTTCAAGAATAAGTATGAAGCCCACAAGCTACACTACTCTACTGGCAGCTGGTAATGGCTAGAGTCCGGCATGCTGGATGCTAGCTATCTTCTTTTTCCTTTTATCGTGCTCTCTTCACCAGTAGTAGGGAGAAGGCAGCCACACTGTGCAACCTAGTATTCGTGAAGAATCACCAGAAACTGGGATAAGCTCATTTTAGGATAGCTTTATGCTATACTGCAGAAGTACAAATTTGCCCTAATGTGGGATTGGGTACCATCTCTTTTTGTCTTGCAGAACCCTATATAGCATTTTTAGGTGTTTTGTCCAGGGAAACATATTGATGCACTTTTACTAGCATAGAGGTATCTAGAAGCCCTATATTTAAAAAAGAAATGCATATAATAGAAAAAAAAATTAAAGGAAATCAGACTATAGGCCATAGCTTTCAAAAACAGTTAGTGATTTTATTTTGCAAGAATCATGTAAATAGAGTGAAGGGGCCTAAATACTTATTTCAGCATGTCAAGAGAAGCACAGGAAAATGAAGACAACAGAAATTTGGGACATGTTATAAAAGTACATTACTCACTGACAGTGTCTAGAACACAGACAGGTTTGTGTGACGCTCCCTTGTGTTTTATAAACTTAGCCTCATGGTGTCACCAATTAACTGCTCTGTTGGTGAAATAGTGATAATGGGATGTAATTGACTGCATTTGTTCACTTTTAACAGTAGGGGATGGCTGAGGGTTTGGTATTTTTAATACAGCATACTTGAACTAGAAGATTTGTTAGTAGATTACTCAGTGACGCTCAAGGCCACATGAGTGTTCCCCCTTTCAAGCTCGAAGCGGTTCTCCCTGCTCAGGAGAGCTCACATGTAATGAAAAGGTTGTTCATTTGGGTCCTGTTTCTCAAGCGAATATCCTCCAAGATGCAATATAGCAGTTTTGATTCAATTCCACAGCTTCAGTTGCTTTGAAGGCAGCACCAGGGAGCAATCAAGGCTGGCTTTGGACACGGGTGTGAACCTGCACGGGTCACCCAGATGGCTCAGCAAGCGCTGCCTCTGGCTGGGTCAGTGTGTGAGCTGCATGCTCGAGGAGGAATTTGTCTTGCACATCCCGTGTTACAGATAACCAAGTGGTGGATGCACGATCTCACGCTCGCTATGTGCTTGTCTCCCAGCCAGATGAATTGGGAACTTGTCCAAAATGTACCACGATGCCGGCGCCTTGCTGTGGTGGGGCTGCAAGTAGCAGTGCAGCTGGACCCCGGCCCGTGGAAGTACTCCCATGTCCCTTGTTCAGGTGTAGCCTAAACACACACTGGTCATCTGGGCACCGTCTGTATCAGTGCAGAATGAGAGGCACCTCCGGAGAGGGCTTCAGCCCAGGGATCATCATCATCTGCCTTAGGACAGAATGGATCACCTGCTCTCCATTGGCTCTGTTATAGAGCGAGCCCTATGTAGACTTCAAAAAAGTAACTTTTAGATACCTAAAATTAGGAACTGTCAAACCCCACCCCAGGGGTGCATCTTCCTTTTCTCCAGGCCTTGCTTGCACTGATGGAGGAGGGACAGGGATGAGGTACCAGGCTGGTGGGGAAAACCACTGCATCCCCTGGGCTTGTGCCCTTCGGCTGTCCCCTGCCTTCCTGCCTCCCCAGTGACCCAGTGCTGCCAGCATACTCACAGCAGGCTCTGCCTGCAGCTGCTTTTGGAAGTGGCCAGGAGGTGAGTGCAGTCGGCTGATGGTATATTGTCTTGCAGCTTCTAGGCCTGCTACTGGCAGTTCATCATGACATTGGAATTATAATGGGCAACCTTTTGTTCAGGTTTGGTGACTAAACCCAAATTTTAATATGCTTATCTTCCTCTCTGAGCTGTTACATACTTTTCAACATGCAGTCTGTAGTGACATCCTTGTCTCTGAAAGCCGCTTTCATTAAATAACCTAACCAGACTGTGAAGCTCCTGGGATATATTTGTTTTGTTGCATGCACAGACGCGATGAGAGGGAGACCTGGTGGGACACAGGCTGGCAGTGCTAAGCTGTGCTCAGTGGAGAGAGCTCCCTGACGGCCAAAAGAGTCCTCTGGTCATGAGGTGCTGCGGTTTTCAGCCTGAGTGTTGTTAAAAGGAGCTGCAACTGCATTTAATGCTTTCCTCATATTGCTGTCCCTCCTGAGCGTGGTGATATTATGCCAAATAAGAGGCCAGAGAAGGGCACACTGCACGCCTGTTGTGGCTGTAAGGAGAGCTCAGCAGCTGGAAGAGGCCTGGGAGAAGAGAAGGCAGACATGTG